ATGTGTTCAAAATTACCTTTAAAACAGCAGAGAAAAAAAACAGTTTGGCAATTTTCAAGGCCATCTCATTGCTGTAGCATCCTCTTGACCACAGCACAAGGTATCTGTCACCTATGCATCTGGCTGGAATGGGAGAGGAAAGGAGAGAAAGTTCATGACACTTTTCTTCATGGTTATGAAGCAAAAGAATTTATCATCTGTAGCAAAATTGTAGCTTTGCTCACTTCTTTCTTTTAGCATATAATCATATAATGATTATACATAGATCAGGACTTTAACTCTAGGGGAATGCAGACTGGAAGGCAACACTAGATCTATTATGTTCACAAAAAAATGTGCAAAAGTGAGATAAGAGGTCTAATACCTTTCCTGGATTTGTTGCTTGATGAACATAAGACCTTCAGAAGAAGAGTCTTTTCCAGTATTGTCCTTTCTTGAATCCACTTCATCTGGCAAGTTTCCATGTCCTGGGTTCAACCAAAAGCACCAGAACAGATAACTTCAAGGCTTGACTTCAGTGCTTTCTATGCGTATTTCACAGACCTTCCTATTGCTGATTTTAAAAATATATATTATCGTTCCAGAGCTTATCAGGATTTTTCAAGTAAAGGACAGAAGAGTTCAGAATGCAGAGCAACACAGTCTGGCAGCCAGGTTTATGGTTCTGGATTTGAAAAAATGAAAAAGATTCAGACCTTTGTTCTCTCTGATTTAGTCCTGAAAATGAAACTGGTAGTCTGTTTTTCTCTGATGTTGAAATTATTTGCTATTTTGTGTGTGTGTGATACATGAGAGTTCACTTGATTCATCTTATGGTGGTTTACAATAGCTGTCAGATGAGTTATGCTATGTGAGCTGAGGCATTGTAAAAACATATGTATGTTCTTAGCTTGCAACAAATTTTAGTAATTTAATGATGCTTAAGACAGCTCCAGCAAAGAGAAGACACACTATTAAAAACTGTAAATCAAGCTCTGCAAGCATGATAGCTGAATTGGAGTTCGAGCTATTCTATTGTCTCTAGATTCTGCTTCTTTCCTTTATATACACAGACATATAAAGTATTTGCATTTATAGTTTTGCAATTCAGTGTGTTGCTTACAGCCACAATACATTTGAAAAAGCACAGATTTTATGGTGTTCACAGCATTTGACCACCTATCAACAATTACACTATTCTGCTTCATGTAATCCTCATCCATACGTTTCTTCTTGTCCAAACTGATTATCTTCATAGACCACATTTCAAAGCATCTTGTAGAAAGAATAAATATCTGAATAATGATAAAATTCATTTGCCATTTTCCACTGCCAGTTTGGTGGGTGTAAATGAAGAAAAGAATGTAAGTATGTTGGGAGAGGTAAAACTATTTTTCCTGTTTCTGCACTGAATTATTCTAGTACTATCCATATCCCCATACAGAGGACAAAGGGGAAATCTCAGCAAAGGCACTGTGACATGAGAAATCACCCTGAACTGTGCTGAGTGCTAAATTCTAGATTCCTTTATGGACTACCAATGTTAAACACTGATTCTAGCTCAATCTGACAGGTTAGATTTAACTGACGAGTTTTGTGGATAAAAGATTGATACGCATATCATCTCTGACTTCAGAACATGCTCAGTACCTGTTTCTTCTCCTTACACTTTCAGCTTCTTGTATTCCCTGTGATTCAGACTACACACAAAGTCCTGATTTTTGCCTTTCAACCACTTTAGACAGCACTGCTTCAAATTCCAGAGGCCTGTTTTTCATATTCCATGAGCCTCTAGGAAGTCAATAAATGCCAAAGAAATGTTGGTTTATTTATTGTGTTTGTTAGGTGTATGCTATGTTTCTGGGGAGGCCTTGTGGCATTTGGTCATCACATCCTTAGAAGATAAAACACAAGGTATCAGCACTGTAAATATATCAAAAGAATTTCAACATTCCCACAGTACTATAAATTTGTATTGTTTTTGGGATATCAGTGTGTTGAAAAAGTACTTCCCTCCTAGCCATTTCCTTTGCCAAATGATTTGCTCAGCTCTTTTTTTTTTCTTCTTCCTTTTTTTTTTTTTTATTAATTTTTTTTAAAGGATCCATAAGCAAATGTTTATTGCAAGAAAGATCCAGGCTGAACCTAGACTGTGTATTTCACATAGTCATTTTTCTCTGAATCAATTCCAGGTTGTGAGTGCTGTCTCATAACATATGCACAGAACACAATCTCATCAGATTGATACTTAAGCTTATGGCAGGATTCAGGTAAAGATTTATGACTGTAACATTGGTGATAGTGCCTTTCTAGTCTCACAGTTGGTGTCCTGTAATGAATTCTACTCCTTCTGATACTGTTTAACCAGGCATATTTTGTGTAGTTAAGGGTATGGTCAGCATCATCTACCCCACTGTGCTTCAATGAATTGGTGCAGACAGCCTCTCTCTCTTTAATCTGGATGTCCCACCCTTGGATGTGACAAGCACCCTATTGTCATGCCCTGCTGCAATCTCTCTGGAAGACATGCAGCCACAACAGTCTTTGAAATAAAAGTTATTTGTAGAGACTGGAGAACTCCACCCTGGTGTCAGGGAAGGGGGCTAGGGGCTCCACTCTCATCCTGCCCCCTTGTCCTGATCCTCGTAACTTGAGTGTGCCCTTTGTTTTGACTGTGGGCTGTATTTTAGATTTCAACTGAATGTGGTTTATAGGTTGTCTTCCAATCCACATAAGAAAGACAGTTTCTCTGTGTTAGTGACATTAGTTATGGTATAGTGTGGTAAATGGAATGTAAAGACAGAACCTACAGCTCGCATGTCTGTTTTCATGGTCTGCACTAAACTTTCAGATTAAACTGTCACAAGAACTGTGTAGAAACAGAGATATGCGGTATGTATAAAATAAAAAGCCACTCTCCACAGCTTTGCAATGAACAGAAAGATAGATATGAATCATGCATAGCACATTTGTGCAGAGGATTTCAGAGGTTTGGTAAAGGACATTGTTGACTAATTCTTTTCCTTTAATCAGAAGCTAATACATGATTGCTAATATCCAGGCAAGCAAGACGGCTTTCTAAGTCTTATCTGCATTCAGTAAAATCCCTGAAATGCAGCCTATCCTCCATAAAGGCAAAAATAGTTGTGCTAATGCCTGGACTCAAACTGGTAGTTCATAGGCACTCAAATACTTCAAAAACATTGTGCTTAGACTACTGAGGCCTGTTTTCTGAAATCCAGCATCTGTTGTGGTGTGATGGTTAAAGCTGGTAAACTGAAAATACTTATTTAATGAATTCTAATCACTACTCTTCATGACTAATCTGTCAATAGGCCCTATTTTCTCTATGCATTTGTCCATCGATCTGTTTACGTGAACAGCTTTCGTTATTTACAAATTATTCTCTGACTGTTGTTCTCCTTCTGGAATGTATTGACAGCTGAGTGGACAAGATGTTACTCTTGATCAGATAATCAATGACCAAATCATTTATGCTTAACAAGAAGTGCATCAAAGGCCTTTCTAAATGGTTGCATGGACGTTACTGGGCATTGGCATTTATAGTGGCATGTCTATTTTTCATAATCACTTGGGTGCACAACTACATCATTTGTGTCTACTTGTCAAAGTAATAGGAAAAATTAGCATCATGCTAGAAATGAATACATAGTAATGCTTTACTGCCCTTTTGCATTATTTTTAACGCTTCTAGACAGGTGTTGGTTGCTTTGTAGGCCAGATAGGCACAGAAGAACAGATTGCCTGGATGATTCTGCAATAATACATAACGTTTTAAGTAATATCTAGGGCAGGGAATTAGCAGTTACGTATAAGATATTAGATTTAGGTAGGTCCACAGCTCGGTGGCTTTACTCACTTAGATGCAAATACATTCACCTGAGTGTGCATAAATTCTTATTACTCTTTTAATACATCAATTTAACACTAAGCACAAGAATACTTAGGTGAATTATTTGTATTTTTTTTATTACTGTAGATAAATAAAATGGCTGACAATGTCATTGGGGTACTGTTTTACTGAGGATGAAGATGCAGTGCTATAGGATCTGCAAGGGGGAGATAGTTTTTGGCAACACAGGTCTGCAGTCAATTGGGAAAGGAGTTTATTACTGACAGAATTTTTATTATGCTGGCTGTAAGTTTATTAAGCACTATACTGCATAATTTCTGTCAGCATATTGTATCGTTTTCTGAGCCATATAATAATATTGCTTTGAACTTCTACAGTGTCTGCCATTTCTACAGCTTCCTAAAAAGTTATACCCACGTTAATTGTCACAGTACCTCAGAGCAGCAAAGAAATACTCTCATCCTGTTGTGATAATCATTATTACTTATAGCAGTCAAAGTGAAGTGAAATGAAAGACTCAAAATCAAGCTGAAAGTATGTCAGGTGCTGGGATTAGCACATTCGTGATCTTGTGTTTTTGCTCTTACAGTGACAGGTCTCAAAGCAGCTGGTCAGCAGTCCAGTTTGTAAGTCCCTTTTGCCTCATTTCTTCAGATATGACTGTATTTCCTGCTTCTATTCTTTGTCTTACCTTCTCTATGAACAAATTCTTTGGGGCAGCGTGTTTTTCGGCATGTGCTTTGCTCAGTGAAAGCATCTGGATTTTTGGGCAGCTGTGTTAATGAACCCCCAAGCCCTCCCAAACCATTACTGCCGTGTTTACAATGCAATGCAGGCAGTGTGCTGGCCACAACTTGGACAGGAAAACTTCAAGAGAAACCCAGGATACTGCAATCCATTGGGCTGGGTATTTCAGCAAACTGTGACTCTTCTGCATAGCCCATGTACCAGCTGAAGCTACAAAGTGATCCTTCTGAAGCACAGCAACAGCTCACCCATTTCAGCACAAAACAATCTCGCCTGCTCCTCATGGTGGGGCAGGTGAATGAGCGTAGGGAAAGAAAAACTCCCCCGGAGCAGCCCTCTTATCCTGTTGCCATAGCAGCTGTGTCCACAGCAGCAGGAGAGATTTCTGCAGAACGGCACTAGGTCTTTCCACTCCAGAGCTGTAGGCCTGTCAGACTCTGCCTCGACTCTCCCACACCAGTGTCCCGGCTCCCTGCCTGGGAAGCATGAATACAGCCGAGGGCTCTCAGCCTCATTGCCTGCCTCTCCCAGGTAAGCACTTCTGCTGCCTGCAGAGCCTTCTACTCCTGCTACAGAGACAAGAAATAAAAGAGGATTAGTATCTGACTTCTGTTCTGTTTACCATAGGATTCTTTAAACCACCACCCCCCGCTCACGCTGTAGACATAAATCCCAGAAAGCATGTATTCAGTTCTTCCTTCATCTGAAACCTTTCAGCCTTCATAATGGGCTTACAGCTGTAAAGATGTCAGCGGGACCAGTTGTATGCAGGCCCAATTTGCTCTGAGCAGGTCAGCGGGGGACCATCTTATAAGAGGGTCACTGACACCATTGTGTCTATTATTTAGTCAGGACTGCAAGGGTGACCTGCAGACTCAGATTTATCCTCTTTTTTATATCTTTATCTAAGAGCAAAAGTAACCCAAAAGATTTTTGTGTAGAGAGAAAAAAGATTTTTTTTCCCCTCAATTTCTTTCCACCTCTGTCAGTGTGGGCAAATGTTAAGATTAGTTTAGCTGGTTCTGCTGCAGACTTCCTTGGAGTCTTAAGGAAGTGATGAGCAGGGCTCCTCCTAATTGAAAAGGTTCTCTAACGAAGAGTTCTTCATTTTCAGGATGTTGACTTCCAAGATGCTTTCTTAAAAACTGTTGTTGACCTTGACCCCTCTTTTACATGAATGGAGTGGCCAGCAGCTGCTGACCTGCAGTGTGATTATCAGTGTCACGAGGAAACCTCGAGCAATTTGGAAAAGGTAAAGGTAAAATTTGATCCCTGAGCTATTAGTAGGACTAATCAGAAAGATAAGTTGATTACTCACAAATCAAGTTGACTAGAGGAAGAATTGTGGGGTGAACAGCACCTCCAAATCAGACCATGTGAAGCTGTAGCAATTATATTGTACCACAATGTGTTTTTTTTGTTGTTGTTGTTGTTTTTTTTTCTTTTTTCTACTTTAACTTGCCTATCTATATATCTCTCTCTCTCTCCCTCTCTTTTTCCTAAAGAGGACTATTTCAAATAACTTTGACTTTTGATAGGCTTTCTAAAAATAGTGCATGTTTCTAATACCACTACAGTAGAGAGAGGGAAAAGGCACTGGGACCTACTGTTTACCCAACAAAACAAAGTACAGAAGCAAATCTCAGTTAATAGTCCTGCTTTTATAAAAGGCAGAATTCAGTGCCCTAGCAAAGGGGGAAATACCTTAAGCAGATCATTGGTGAAATAAGTCAGTGAAGGAGACTGAAGTGAGCCTTGAGGGTGAAACACCTACACTGATGAGAAATAGGTTAAGTAATGCTCTGCTTTTTAATTATGTTAGAGCTGTAGGTGCTGAAGCTTGCTCATTAGCTGAGGCTGTAAAATGCCACATTTATTTTGTCATTATTCTTTCAAATATTTGCCTGATGGGCTTGTGAGATGTTTAGCTCTCTCTGCCTGAAATTCCCACTGGTTCTACCAAAGGAGGCTTCTCTGCCTGGCTCCATACTCAGAAATGTCAAATCCTCACTTGTTATCTCTACCTCTATTAAAACAGCACTTGGTACTAACCTTTATTGACCTAATCCTTGTGAAGAGAAACATCATGTCCTACTCACCCTTCTGCTGACCATCACAACTGATCTTACTCTGTAGGTCCTCTTCTCGTGAGCCCTGCAGGTCAGTCTGTCCTAGTGTCTTACTCCTCACACAGCTCTCCAGCCACCTGGGGCTGTTATCTCACTCAGTTCTCCTTCACAAAATGAGCATGTGGCAGCCTGGCTTTAGTTCAGGGCCTGACCTGCTCTTTTATTAATCAAGCAGTAACTGCCTTATATTAGGACTTAACCTAAGTTAATCTCCCTCTTCCAGATCTTTTCTTATCCCAACCATCCTTGAAGCATCATTTTACTTTGTTTTAGTGGCGGGCATCAGGACTTCTTGTTCAGGTACTTGGGCAACTCAGACAACAGTAAGTCTCTTTACCAGTCTTTTACAAGTGAAGGTCCTTTGGTATCAACAGGTTGTTTTGCGGGGCTCATATTTGATTCAGCTTTTGAGATGTAATGATATGACGGTTGTTGCTTTCTGTAAGTGCTCCCTTCAATTTTCTAAGAGCTTCCACCCAAATGAAAATGACAATGTTTCCATAACAACCTGACGGATGTGTTAACTTGCTATACAGCTTATGTGTATTGTACCTTCAGTATATTTCCAGTTCTATTAAAAACAGAAAATAATTTTAATAGCCAAGGTGCATTTTTCTTCCTGCTGATATTTTCACCTATTGAGTGGGTTGTGAATTAGCTGAATATTATCCTTCAGCCTTTAACAGTTGCCTTCTATTTGTAAGGTAATAACTGACTAGATTCCGAAAAGTCCATGAGGTATGAAACAAATGGATTTAAACATTGCAGTGTCCCCTACATCTCTCACCTGATATTTTTCCTGGTCTGATCATTATCTAATTCAGTAACAGACAAATGATCAGAGCTGTTTTGTATGGTTACTCGTGAATGTAATTTTGCATTTCATTTTTGGCATGTCGTAAATATTTCCTGGCAATGGATATATGCATTTCACTCCTGTGATTTTGGATTTTTGTTTTTTTGTTTCCTTGTGTTTGAAATCACTTCCAGTGCTCTTCGAAAAATGTGCTATGCAGCAATGCAATGCATTTTCCTAGTTTATTTTGGAGGTTTGATCTTTGTCTTTCCTTTGCTCCTGGTATCAGACAGTCTGTTTAGAATTGTGTTGGGGCAGTACAAAGGAATTGGAAGAGTGATGAAGAAGTATGCTGGCAGATGATTAGTAACTTACTAGGAATAAAGAATGTAGTTCTGTTAAGAATATCAACTAAAAATTAACTTCTCTTCAGGGATTAACTTGGAGAGCTTTTCTAATGTGTGTGCTTGTACATGCTCACAGTGAATTATTATTGCTAAATATAAAGAGAGGAGTAAAGCACTGAGGAGAAAACACAGGATTCCCCTGAATCCTCTGGATCTTTGCAAATATAAACAAGCTTGTAGGACAGACATTGCATACCACAAGAGGTGTCTGGAGATGTCTGTTTTTGATAGTTACAGTGCGTGCTATGCTTTCCTTGCAGAAGCTGTGTTAGTATGCAGGGCAAAATGTGTAGCTGGTTTCACTCATGTTGCCTCTGTGCTCTGAGCCAGGCAGTGCCTTCTGAAGAAAGGTTATGAACAGAGGAGGTGGTGACAGACTTACAAGGATCTAAATGTATCTTCAGGGAGGTTTGTATGCCAGGCCTGTGCCACTTTGGATTCAGACAATGGGCTCCTTTATTTCCGGAGTGATGAGCCCACACATTGGGCCATGCAGACATCATGTGCTTAGGGAGTTGTTTCTTCTTGCAGATACATCTTCTATAATCTGTCTAAACTATGGGTACTGTTTGTCCTGTAATCTGGCTCTAAATTAAGTATTTCACAGGTTTGCTTCTTTTAAGAGTCCTCATGTCCCACTGCTTCAGATGAATTACTTCATAGAATAGTTCTAGATACAATTCCAGAGAGGTCTGTAATGTATTGCTATACCTATTGATAGTGGAAACTATTCCTGCCCCTTTAACTTGCAGTCCAAGAAGCAACTTTTTTTGAGAATTGTTCTCTTTCTTCAATTTGTAGATGTGGTCATTCCATCTACTGACCATATGTAGCATAAATAGTATTTTTACAGAGAAATTTGTGTTTCAAGTTTAAGTGGAGAGCAAAAGGAATAATCAACAGCCTAAAGAAACATAAACTGTGAGGGAAAAAACAAAAAAGAGAAAACAATATATGACTGTTTGATCTTCTAATACATATATGCTTGCTGCAAGAGGAAGGCAAAAAATACATTTTCCATGCCCATGACACAAGTAGTAATAGTTTTAAGCTGCAATTCTGATTTCAGTTCACTCCAAGGCTAGTGAACCACTTGCATAAATGGCTTAGGAAGATGGTAGGGTCACAGGAGGTCTCTGTTACTGCAGGTATTGAAGTTAAGCTGGATAGATGTCCTTCAGGGACAGTAACTAGTCAGGCTGCATTGCGCATTGCTTGGAAGAAGGGTTGGAAGAGGCCCTTGCAAGGTCACTTCAGCAGAATGGTTCTGAGACTCTGTATTCTTGCAGGTTTAGTTTAACTAAATTTTACTCAGCCAAAAAATCACCACCCTGAATATAAAATTATAGGATAAATATTTTCCAGAATGGGATTAGGAGAGGGAATTGATGTTTTTCTGTGCTAACAGAAATGTATTTTACTTTTTTATTGTTGTTTTATTAGATAACTATGCATTTTTCCATGATTTAATGATACCAGATTTGATACCTTTTTCTCAGGTGTGTAGCTTTTCTTGTTCCAGAAAGAAACAGAAATCCCAGACTCTCCAAAGTTGTCATCTCTCTGAGCATGCTCCATTGCCTTGTGCTGCTTTTACATAACAGATCAGTCACTTATTTTTTCATAAAATGTGCTATGCGGTGTGATTTCCCCCATGAACTCCCTGTGACTCTCCACAAGCAGCAGTGCTGTGGGGCAGCTCTCTGATTGAAATGCAGGTGGCGCAAAAATCTGATGTAGGTTGGGCAGGGAGCCTGGCAGCAGAGTTGGGGACAGGCTGGGGAAGGACCTTGGCTCCAGGAATGAAGGAAGAGACTGATATAGGAGAGGGCCAGATGTCAAGCTTTAACATAAAATCACAGTTGAGTTGTGCCTTTTTTCTGAGCCTGACTTCACCATATTCCTTCTTTCTTCTTCATGACCTCGCTGATGCACATCATACGGGCTAACTCACAAGACCCTGACCATGACGTGTGTATTAGCCCCTTTCCATGGTCTCTAACAGGTCAGAAAACAGTTGGGTTATCTGCTCTGATAGTTAGTGATACAAATGTTATCTCTGAGTAAGGGAAACTTTAGGCTTATTTTTAATCTGTTGGACATCCTGCTTGGAAAGAGGATTAATTTTTCAGCTGCAGGAAAACCATGAAAAGGAAATCTTTTGTTGCTCTTTGACTGATTTTTACACTTACAAATGGAAACAATCAATTGAAGTTACCAGCCCAGAAATGTCTATCTTCAGTTTTTCCCACGTGAAAAATTTCCAGCCTAGAATGAGATCAACTTTATGAGAAAACTGAACTAGAATTCAGACGCTTGCACTAATAAGGTGGTATTTCTTCTTAGACCTCATCACTGTCACAGTGTGTTGGAAAGGCAGAAACTGAGTATTACTGTTAGGAAGTTTCTTTCTACTTCTTACAGCTTCCAAGACTTGTAATCAGAGCTGTCTGGATAATACTGATATCAATTTATATTTTTGAGTGTGACAGAATGAAGGAGTGAAGAGTATGTGTTGTTTCATGTAGTCATGTTTGCCAGTCCTGCAGTCATAATTTTGATTTATTTTGTTTTCCCTACAGTAATCAGTTAAAAAGGTGGAGTTTATGTTGGGTGTCTATTTAACGATCCTACTTGAAATCCTTCACTTTCATCTGGGAACATGATGTGGCAAAAAAAAAAAAAAAAAGATAAGAAGGAAAGGGAGCCAATAAGCAATGACATACCCTAAAATACAGTATCTTCCATAACAATTATGCTGTCTGCTTAGTATGGAAAATACCCTCTTATACTGCTTTTTCCTCATCATAATGATACAGGTGCAGGTAGGGCTTCCTTGGCTGGGACTATTGCTCCCATTATGTTTCCTCTCCACACCATTCCCTGGATCTATCCCACATGGCTCACATTCCTGTGTGTC